CCTTCCCTTGCAGTCTGTAATACGAACACCAGTGATTTCTCCGTGTCACCTTCAGACCTATGTCAGCATTGGAGTAATTTCCATTCCTGCTTTTAACTACTCAGATTGCCCATTTTTACTTGCAGGTGGTCAAAGATCTCTGTCACCCTCTGCCAGGCACAGACCTGCTGCTGATGGATGTGACTGATATCTTCATAGCATGTTTGTGCTGTGCCTTTTCCTGAATGTGTGCCCAATGGGAAGGTTTCCACTGTTTTCAGATGGCCTTTTATCTGCAGACTTGTTCAGGAGGGTGAAGGTATTTTAAAGAAACTGTGGCAAGTACAAATCCTTATAATAAGGCTCTCCTAGTCTGTGCTTGTGCTGCCTGACAGATCTGTATTTGACTTCACTGATGGCTATTCAGATGCAGAGTTCGATTTTCTAGATCTTACTGCAGTTGACTGCCTTGATTGCGGGCATCTCCCCACACATTGTCCTGTTGCCTTTTCATGGGCAAATACTCCCTTAATTGTTTGTATCCTGCTTTCCGCCACGGTCTTTCTCTTGTAAAACAAGTCAAAGGGTTTTATTAAGGAAGAACAGTCAAATATTAGGTGATGAGAAAAGGCAGAAAGGGCATTTGTTTCGGGTGGTGGAGCTTGCTGGGTAGGTGGCTGTCTTGTGTGGCTGTGGGAGGAATGTTCTGCAGATACTTGATAACCTGCAGTAGGAGGAAAAAGTTGCACAGGTGAAAATGGAGGAGGTTCTTGTGAATGTCGAGGTCTCTTGCAAGTCTGGAGCTCAGCTCAGCCTACGTTCCCCTACAGAGATGTGCTGCCAAAAGATTAATACCTACTTTATTGGGATGCTAAGGGTCTTGGTGCACCACATTCAGAGCGCTTCTGTGGCTTCACTTGCAAACCTGAGTTTGGAACTGAAAAAAAAAAGTTCCATCTAGAAACTAATTTTTCTTTAATAAAAAGGAAAAAAAAAAACAAACCAACCCTTGGAGTGCCTTGGGTGTGTTGGGTAATTGTGTACTCAAGAAATTCAGTTACATAAGTGAAGACACTCCTGTCAGGCTTGCCTGCCAGGAAGGCAGACGCTGCAGCAAATCCACTCATCACAGAAGAACTCCAGTCGGTGCGAAAGGGGAGAAGCTTTATCCTGTGTGCTGTATTTATTCACGGAGAGAAGTTGTCTTTGGCACGTACGTTTGGCACCAGTTTTCATCCCGTGGAGCTGCTTTTTCTTGTTGGTGTTGTGGGTAGAAGTTTCCTTTTCTGACGTGGAAGGAAAGAGGTGGGTATTTTCCATAGTTTATCACAAGGCTTTTCCACTGCTGGTTGAAAGAGCCCAACTAAGTGCCTTCAGGAAGCAGGATTTGAATCAGAACCAAAGTCCTGGGCAGCAACTTAGGTGTCTTGTTTGATAGGGGAGAGGAAAGATGGGAAGGGATGTAGAGGCATCATGCAGCAGACCACGGTGTGTAGGACATTGGTCCTAAACAGTGGAAGTGATGTCTAGATCTACCTTTCAGGCTTACCAGTGTGCCTTTAGGGGGGGGAGTTTTAAAAGGAGGACGCTTTCTGGGCAAAACTAGGCTATTCTGCATTTATTAAGTATGCACATTCTCAGTTAAGGTGGTTTATGAAATGTCTGAACAGGCCTTACTGTTTGCTTACATTGCTTACGGAACAAATCATAGAATAGGGTTGGAAATGTCAAATTTAAATGCGTATAAAGCTGTATTTCATAAATTTATTTCAAATGTATTTGATTTTACTGTGAAAGCCATTAATGAGTTAAGTTTGGGATGTGCAGCACAACGGCAAAGGTATTTAGATATTTATGCTTAATTTAGAAAAATGACCTTTCAGAGCAAAGCGCTGTGCTTGTCAGAAATATCCTGATGAATTAATTTCTTGTGATGCCAATGTGTTGACTTTTGAGAGCAACCTTACAGATAATGAGGTTTATTTTTATCTTAGATCTGTCTGATTGTAGTGCCTCTTGCAAATCAGGGCACTTTTACTGACTTTTATGGTTATAAATACATAGCAAAATTCGGAAGCAGAAAAAAAAAAGAGGAAAAACCCAAACCAACCCAAATCTGTCTGACCAGCGTGGATACCTGGACTTTGAAAAAATCCTGCAGTTGTAAGATCAGTATCCCCTTTTACCACCACCCCCCAGCACTCCCAACCACCTTTGTAATACTATCTAGAAATACTTTCATTCTGATTTTAAATGACCTTACAGGAACTATGTTGCATGTGGTAGCAATGTTGTTTTGCATTAGAAAACACTAACTTTGTTTCCACAGGCTAAGGCAATGACTTTCAATTTGTAAGAATCTGCAAGGAATTTGAAAGCAACTTTTAGTACTTCTTGAAGGTTTCTGACTGCTTAAATTGATTTATGTTTAGAACCTAATCTTGCTCACTTTAACAAAAGCTGGCAACTTCAGTAGGTTTATTTGTGCAGATAGAGTGAGAAAGATTCAGCTATTGATATAAATACTTCAGCTTTCTGGTTTCTGAGAACTATTTTCTTACTGTTAATTATGCATCCTTAAAAATGTGTACATTCATATGCATATGTAGAGGCAGAGATGGCAGTTTAGTTTGCAAACTATTGAGCTTTGTTTTGCCTATCAATGTTTTCAATTTTAGTTTGACTCAGAACAATCTCCAAAATGTTAGGATAGGCTCAGATCAAGAGTTATGAGTTGGGTCACATGCATTGTCACATGTAGCATCATATACTGGATATAGGTGGCTATTACTGGAACATCAGTATATTCCAGTATATTGTATTAAGAATTAAAAGTTATTGCTGGGTTGATTTACGTAGTCCCTTGAGGTTCATTTGGGCAGGAACAGATGTCTAAACAGGAGGTTTGTGTTCTTGTGAGCCATCGGCAGCTGCCAGGACTCAGGGCAGATAGTGGGCTCAGCATGGATGGGCTTGGGAATGGGTTTGTGGAAACTAATAAAATACTGCAAAACAAAAATCCCTTTCCAGGCTTGCATTCAAGTAATTGAAATGGTTTTAGATGGAGTGGTGCCAGCTTCTAAGCAAACAGCTTACAAGTTTAAAAGTCTGTGTTGTTTAAAAGAAATATTAAAGGGTCAGCGGTCAGGTATGCTTGTGACTAGAACTGAAGTGCCTATATTGGCAAATGAGAATATGAGTTCATCTAAGAGGTTGCAGTCTGAGTGAAGTGCAATGGTAAAGCTGAAATGCATGATAAAACTTCATGTTTTTAACTTAATTGTTAAATTTTAGGAGTATTTTAATATTCTTGTGGTAGAAATGTCATCTTAACCATTTGGGTTGAGTATTGCATTTGCTGAAAATGTGTTTAGCTTGGAGTTGCTGTTGAAAATAGAAAAGTCTCTATTGCTATTTGGATTGCTGTGTTTTTGCTGGAGTCGGTGGGCAGCGACTTACAGTCATGTTTTGGTGTTTACTGTCAGGTCACTCTGAACTAGGCTCATCTGGGTTTTTTGGTAATATTGCAATATTACTCCGACTTTACAAGGGCAAGTTTACTGTAAATCTGTGGCGATCTCCATTTGGGTGGTAGTTTCTTAGAACAGCTTCAGTTATTGTTGGAATAGTGGCAAGTTTAAAGGGTATTGCATGCATGTAATGGTATTTCATCTCAACCAAAACAAAGGATGTCAGTTTCTAAAGCAACCAGAATTATTTTTAACTCTTTCCTCATTTCTTTAAAACAAACCCAGAGTGATTCATCAGTATCCTGTCTCGAAGTGGCCCCTGCAAAGTGTTTCAGTGGGAGATTAACAAGTGGTTCAGTGGGTAATTTTGCAAGCACCAGCTGTGGACCATGGTATTTTGTTCTATGGGTTTTTTTTTTAACCTTTCATGCAGTGCAATTAGTAGCTGGGTGGTGTTCTGAATATCCCATTTGATCTCTAACAAGAACGTTATCTGTTCGCCCTTGCCAGGGTGTGTTGTTCTTAAAGTGGGTGTTGAGATTCCCCAGTACAGAGCTTTAGTATTTCATGACAAAAGCCCAAGGCCTAATATCTCATTGTGTTTAAAAGGGTTTCTCATTTGTCTTTTCAGACAAAATTGATCAATGAACTCATTTGCAGTGGGAAAGCTAAATCTCAAACAAATGCATTTTAAATATCTGCCTGAAAGCAGGGAGGAAATGAGAGCTGAGATAAATTGATAAAACTGGTGAGAAGTTCAGCTCCTAAGACCTACATCTTGATATTACAAGTAAGAGTTATGAGGTTTCAGTATGGTCTTTTTTTCCAGTAATGCTCAGTTTGACCTTCCCTATAATATTTATTATTTAATATACCCTTATTATGTCAAATATTTTCCACCTCCCTCTGAATTAAACTGCTGTGATCTTTTCAACTCTTCTTATACAGAATCATCCATAGGCTCCTAAGTACTAGTATCCTTTTTTGAGCTTTTTCTGTTTCTGAAATAGTTGTATTGTTATTGTCTGTATTCTTCCTAAAGCAGCCCAGTGTTTTATCTCCAAATACCACCTCCTCCCACAAAGAATTATAAATCAGCAAAGTGTCCAGGAATGTATCCTGTGCAGAGAGAGTCATTGAGACCTTTAGGTCAGTTTCACAGTGCTACACACCAACAGGTCATAAATTGAATGTATGAGTAGTTAAAACAGATACAGGGATTCAACCTGTTTACTTCTTTGTGCATGTCAGTGCTTTGATCGTGGCTTTTTGCCTTAGTATATTTGTTTTAACACGGTATTCCATGTACAAACACTTTTCCATAGTCCACAATTGAGGCTGCTAGCTACTGGTTGGGTTGCATTGCTCTAGCTGTCCTAGAAGGAGGTGACTCCTAAGGTGTATAATGATAGACTAGTTAAACTATGAATTAAACCAGGAACTTAAACTATTTATATGCTCTGAACTGTATCATGATAATAATTTTGAAATGTCATCTGCTTTTCCAGATTTCAGTCCCAATTTTTCCAGTTTTTGTTTTGTTTTTTTTTTATTGAGTGCCATTGGGTTTCTCCTGGCTTTTGTGCTGAATTGGGAGTAGCAATTTCCAAATCATTTGTTTACTGTAGCATGTAAGGTAATGAAATTGCAGCCACCAAAATCTTCAAAATTATCTACTAGGAGTGCAAAAGTGTAAATTTTACCCACTTGATAATTGGTAATTAAGGTCAGATTGTGTTGCTGAATCATGACTTGAGTTAATGAATACTTGTTAATGAATACTTGTTGAGTGTTCAATCTGAGTAAAACTTAGTCTCTGGAAGTTCTTGAAAATAAGAACAGTCACAGTTTAAAACAGTTGGAAGTAATTACTAAATTGGTTAAAACAGCTGAGAACTAAGTTATTTAAACACCTGAACTGTAAACTTGATTTGAACAATGAGTTATAGTTGGCTTTTGGGTTTTGGTTGGTTTTGGTTGAGTTGGGGTTTTTTTGAAAGTGTTATATGCTTAAAATTTATTTTAAAACATGAAGCCAAAAGCCAGGGACCTGACTACCTGTAAAAAAAATGGTTGTTTTTGCCTCAGGATTAACCTGAGGTTGCTTGGTTTGTAATTATGAATTGTAGCTACAGAAAATGAGAAGCTGGACAGAAGGACTGCTGAAGATAGGAAAGCATCGTGTCATATGCTGTAAGAGTATATATTTTATTTAAATTTTATCACCAATAAAATATTATCCAATGTTTATTTACAAGGAAAAAGAAATCAAAATCATGCACTGAGTATTTTCCTGCTTGCTCTGGTTTCTCCTAAGTAGAGTCCTCAAACATGAACTGATCTTTCTTCTCTGGAAAGAGAAAGCAAAAGGAGAAAAATTTCAGTGCATCATTTCTACAGCACAGACACTTTATTTGCTTTGCTGTCCTTCATCATTTTATGGATTTCAGTTACTTTGTCATTTTCTTCTCAACCCTCCCCCCCCCCCCCCCCCCGATCTTTTCTCTTGCCTGTCTCCTTCTCCTTCACCCATTTCAGCATGGAGCAAAACATTTGCCTGTGTTTTTAAGAACCACAAAGAGAGATAAGTGCTGAGTTCCATGCACAACCTGAGGTCTTCCCCAAGTGTGAGGCATCAGAGGCCTTTGACCTACTGCAGTTTACTGAGGGAATACCAGATATGTGTATTTGGTGGATGCACACCTTGTCCTACTACTCACAGCCTTAAATATCAGCACTGGATGAATTTGGTGGCAGAAGAGGAGAGTAGGAAGGTCTTGCTGATATGATCCTTGGCATAGGAGGGGTTGTCGAGAGGAAACCTGAGAGAGCTTGAGCACTGAGCCCAGCCTTGCTCCTGTTCTTTATGCGCTGCAAAATCCAGTCATTCCAAGAGTTTTGCGAGCTGGTTTATAACAACGGTCAAAGTAAATTTGGAGATGTAAGCATCAGAGAGAAGTATAAGTATTTGGAGAACAGTAAGTATTAGGGAAGCAGCACCTGTTCCTTGGCAGCCAATCACTGATGGTTTGTCAAGAAAGTCTGAGGAAAGACCCCCCAAGAGGCAGAAAGTGGGATCTGCCACTGGCTGCCTTTCTGTTCCCCAGGCAGGTGCCCTGCTACATCACTGCAAGCCTGGGTCAGCTGTAAGCATCAGTGAAAAGTGATGCATCATATAATCATTTAGGTTGGAAAATACCTTTAGGAGTATCAAGTCCAATCATAAATCTGTCTTCCATTGCAGGATGCCATCAGAAGAAATTATCAGATTTGCAGCTGTGGGCTGGTGTTTTCCCCAAGCACCTTTTCTCTTTCCTTGTGTAATACCTTTCAGTATTTATTAGGTTTGGTTGAAACCAATCCTGGTGTTCAGTAGGGCTTTGGTGAGAAACTGGCTAAGCTTTCCTTCAACAACTCTTGGTGCCTGTCAGGGTGACTTGGTGCTTTACTAGCCACTGTGAACCTCCTCAGAGAAGAGACATTAAAGAGCAAGAGAGGTTGTCCAGTTGGCCTCATTCTCTCTGCTTTCCCTTCTTTGTGCATGCAGAGTTTCCACTGTTTTTTTTCTTCTATTAACCATGCACAATTTTTGTCTCGGTTGCCCTTTCTCTGGCTGGAAATGTGGAAACTTTGAGCAGAAATTTATTTTAGCTGAGCTGTTAAGAAAAAAAAAATGAGAAAAATACTTCTGTAAATAGGCAAGACATTTAAAACTGAAATAAACAGATTAAGGTATAGATGGGTGAAAAAGCCATTTAAAATATTAATCGTTTTGGAAATTTGCGGCTGTTACTCAAGTCACTAATTTTAGTGCTAGCAAGAAAATGTTTGGCAGAACAGGCATGTTAAAAACAAACCCAGAAAGCAGTTTCATGATACTATCCTGGGTTTGCATTTTCATTGTTTTAGTCAAGTTGTACATTCTAATAATTTCTTCTCCCACTCACCATATTTTCCAGAAGTCATTGTTCCAACAAAACAAACCCAAAAAATACCTTATGTAAACGAGTTAATAAAGTTGGATGCAAGACTTTCTGCACTGTGTGGCACAGAGTTGATTTGTGCAAAATCTTTCTGTTAAAGGCCAAATAAAACATATTTGAGGAGTTGAAGTCTCTGGGTGCTCCCTGTGGCACATTGCTATTGAATCAAGCTCCCTTCAGGCTGAATTGTTTGCTTCCAAATGCAGGATGGGATGGTGTGTGCAGCAGCTTGCTGTGGATTTCTCCCACATGTTCCTCACCGCCCCCTCGTCTTCAATCAGACGATGCAAAATTGGGCGTGAATTCTAAATAAAAAGGGAAAAAACACACGGGTGATGTTCAGATTGCAGAGTGCCATCACTTTGTAGGTGTGTAAGAGGCAGCTATAGTTAATTGTCTTCCCGAGCTTGCAAGTAGAGAAGGAAAATTTCACCAGCAAAACTAGAAAAAGGGGGTAAGAGGACAAGGTTTTGGGTTTGGTTTAGATTTTACTTGGGTTTTTTTTAAAGGTATCGTAAGCTATTCCATGGCAACAGGAACTGTCCTTGTGGGATGAGGTGAATGTGAGTGGATCTATATAATTTCTGCTTCATTTTTCAGAATACCATTTAGCATATTAATGGTACACTTAACTATCTGTATACTACCATGTTTGTTTCATAGCTTTTATTTACTAAACAAAACCTTCTCAGCTTCTTGTAATAACCAGCTTTTTGTATAAAGATTAATGAACTAAATTTACAGTGTCAACATTTCAGGATATTTTTTCAGGAGCTTATTTGTTGTCCAAGGGTATCTCAGAGATAATAGAAAAAGGAATGCCAGTAAGATATTTCAGCCTGCTTTCTTCTCAGGGAGAACTCTATTATATTTTAGGGGCTGGAGTGTGGGAGCTCTGTTGCAACACATTTTTGTTCATCAGTGATGCTTATAAATCATACTGGGGTTTTTGTGTCTGCTGCTGCCCTTTACTGCGTTTGTGTGATCTGAGCAATTTTGACTCGCTGCAGGACTTGGGGACTGCTCAGTGCTGTCCTTCACAGGTGAGCTGTAGGTTGGACAGAGGCTTGGGTGGCATGTTTTAATGGGAGGTGTCCTTGCCCATGGCAGGGGGGTTGGAACTAGATGACCTTAAGGTCCTTTCCAACTCTAACTATTCTATGATTCTATGAGCTGGGGTAGACAGGGTGCCTGTAGGTGCAGTGGGAAGCTGGGGGCCAGCCACTGTGGTGTCCCCTGGGGCCAGCCTTCCTCTCAGCTACTGGGGCCAGCCGGAGCAGGCACGAAGGAGGAGAGAAGCAGGATGCAAGCTGGCTGTGCTGGAGACAGGTTTTAACAAGTGCCTTGGGACCAGCACAGCCCTGCTCCCAGCAGAAATCATCGTTTTACGGGGCTTGTGGAAGAAAGTGGCTTGTGTGGCTCGCAGGGTAGCCAAGGTAAGTGCTTAAAGCTGAGCACAGCCTTAGCAGGCTGCCATATGGTTGTGACCAGAGAATAATCTCTTCATAATAATGTGAATGTTTGTCACTTGGCCTCCTGGGACAGAAGACTTCAAGTCCTCTATTTTCCCTGAAGAAAGAGGTACCTGTTTAGATGGGAGGTTACTAGCTGGCAGGACATGGCCTGAATCTGGCCCCCAGGATGTTTTCCTCCCCTCCATCCATGTTCCCTAAGAAATAAAGCAACTGTTTTGTACAGCCTTGTCTTACAAGGCCTATCTGCCATTCAGCCCTGAATAAAATAGTAGACATCTGCATTTTTACAGTGCTGGAGGGTGATGGTGTAGGACCTATTGCTGTGCTGTGGGGTGCTCTGCAAGGTCAGCTTGCAACTTCAATTAATGGTTAGTGGCCGAGCAGCTCCTTTCTAATAGCTCTTTAGAACTAGTAAAATAAGAAAGCTGCAGCATTGTAGTTTCAGCTCATCCCAATTTGCTGGGAATGTGTCGCTGAATATATGATCCGTGTTTGTTTCCATTTGTTACAAAACATCTCCCATACGTGCCTCATTTCCTCTCAGCATGCCTGCCAAATGGCCCCCTCCTTCCCATAGTTGTACCTTGGGAACTGTCTGGCAAATCTGGATAACGTAGGGTAGTTGGCCCACAACTTCATTGCTCTGTTTAGGGTCTGCCTAACCCTGTGCAGGCCATGTGCATTTTCTGGAGAGGTGTTTTATCCTTGTTCCTATCATCTTTGATGGGATTGGCACAGGGACTGGAGAATACCCGAATGCTCAGTTGGATACTCTAGACCTGGTTTTTGTCTTGGGTATTGAGGGAGGATGGAAGCAAGTAGAGAACTAGGTGATCTTAAGGTCCTTTCCAGCCCTACCTGTTCTGTGATTCTGTAACAGTAAAAATAAATCACTGAAATGACATACTGGCTTAATATGTGCATTTTCCACCCCCAATTTGTGTTTGCCCTGAGAAGAGAACATGAACTGCCTAGGGCTGTTCGTTTGTAAGCCTCTTAGAGTGGATAAGCCCCTGTTCATGGCTGGATGATATTTTCTTAACAAGAAAATATCATCTCTTTGTGCCTTTGCACAAGTTTTTTGTTTCAGGTACACCCAGTCCTACATCAGCTTGTACTGACTAGTTTTTCAAAGGTGTTTTTTGTTTTCTCAGTCCAATTTCTGTTGTTTCTTGCTTTAAAGCTGCAGCTAGTGACATTTCATTCAGCATGCAAAAAAAAATCAGGGTAAAAGTAAAAGGTTACTGTGAAAAGATAAACTCTCAAAGTATGTAGAGCGAGGTTTAATATAAATTAATTTTGGATTTTTGTTCTGGGTTTTTTTTTTAGCACTGAGACCTGCTGATGCCATTATGACTGTTGATGTGTTGGATTGTATTCATATGCTTTGGCTTGTAATGTTAAGACCTATTAATACTAAGTTCTTGGAAAAACAAGCATGCAAAAAAAAAGAGATACCTGAAAAGCTTTAACTTTGCATTTAATGTTTATTTATACCAAAGAAGATTTTGAAGGTGATTGTGATTTTTGCATCCCTGTTCAAAGTGGATTTACCAAATAGCACGAAACGGTAGCTGACCATTGGTCTGGAAGAAGTCCTAAGCTGTGTGTTAGAGTTGGTCTGGTTATAAGGCTGATGCATGAAGATGCTCCAGCACTGTCAGGAGCTTGGTGAGGGGTGGCTGGGTGGCTGGAGGTGATGGCCCAGAGACATGGTCTTTGAGCTACATGGTAAAAGAAGGATGGTGCTTGGGGAGGCTGGGTTTTAAAGACAGGCTGGAAATACTGATAGGGTTTTAAGGAGGAAAGACCGAGTATCAAGTGAGCTCCCCTGACACCCTAGAAAAAAAATCATTTGTGTGTAAATTTATCGAGAGTCTGATATTTACACATTTTGCAGTCAATACCCACTCTTTAGCAAACACTGCCTGCTGTTTTACAGTTAATAGAAAAGTGCCTCTGTCGATCCCTGTTCTTTTGAGTGATCCAGGAAAGAGCATGCATAGTGAAGTGGCAGTGTTGCTGATTTGATGGAGAAGAGGTGAAGATGAAGATGCAAATGAAAATGGAAAGGACTTCAAAATGACATTTGGTTGCTGTGCAACCATATTATAAAATGACAAATGGAATTCAGTGTGGATAAATGGAAAGTGATGTCCACAGGAAAATTATTCAAACTTTTCATTTAAATTGACTTGCTTGTTAACACTCAGGCATATCCAGGGGTTCATATATTTGTGTGGAGAAGTCAATTGTGTACTCACTAGCTGTCAAAAAGCAAATAAAACATTAGGAATGTGTATGGTAGTAGTAGAGAAAAATGTGTCTGTCACAGGAACATCTGTGATGTGCCTTCATCTTGAAGAGTAGGATTAATTCTGACATCTTCCTTGTTATTCTCTTTTCCTTCTTCACTTCCACAGCCAAAGAGGATAAAATTGTACTGCAAAAGTTGCAGAGGTCATAAGTCTGTTGAACAGCTTTTGTATAAGGAATGAATAAGTAGATGAGGCCCTGCAGTTTGAAGAAGGAAAATATGAAAAGCTCACGCAGACTGAAAGCACCCTTGGAGAAACTGATGTAGGAATAATCTGTGGGGCCTGTTAGGTTCAAATAGAGCTTCTGGGCCTTGCTTCAGAGCTGTGTGGTTTTAGTATTCAACTTAGCACGTGTCTTCTGCTTTTATCTGGTCTTATGCTCTTGTTGGCTGCTGGAGGCAAGATGCTGGGCTGGGCTTTTGGCTTGACTTTGCTTCGTTTCTTGTTAGTGTCATAAAGAAATACTTTTTTTTTTTTTCTTAGCTGGTAGTGCTGTTTATTGTCCATATTAATATCAGGTAACTATAAGAACTTCAGGATCCAAAGTTTTACTAAAGATTTAGCCATTTAAACCATTTGTATTAAGATTTAGGATCTCAGTAAAGAGATGATCTTTACAGCATATGCTAAGCTTAAGAAAATTAATCTATATTTAAACAGGATAGTCGGTTGGTTGATACTCTGGGTTCCTCAGTGCTTGAATATATCTACTTCCATGATTTCTGCCATGTAAACTCAGTAGCATTTGGGGAATGACACAAATAGAAGAAGAAATTACAGTGCAGTTTGACCCCTTGGAGAACTTGCAGACAACCTCCACGCTGTTACCTCAGGTGATGAAACACAATTCTTGATGTTGTTTTACCTGTTGAACCAGTTTTGTGCTTTTCTGTGCTGGGCAAGCCCTCCCACAGCAGCCTTGCAGTTGAGGATGAGTGCTTTTTAGTACCAGAAAGATTGATGGGAGGTTTTTCCGCTCTTTGGCTAGGGAGTGTCTATCTCCACTGTTTGCTGCTTTGGCATAAGATCTGTATTGGAGAAAATACATAAATTAAAGAAATCTATTGGGCCCCAGGTGTTGTTGTTTTTACATGTTTCTGGTGAGTGGAAAAGTTGGTGTTTGGTTTTGGTTTTGCCTTTTTTGGTTGGTTGGTTTTTAAAAAGTTTGCAGGCATTTCACTGGCATTTACTTAATTTCTCTATCGGGCTTTAAAAAAAAAGGAATTAATTAAAACCACACTTCTTTTTTCCAGTTTGGG